TCCTCCTGGTACTACTTCATTTCAGTTTCTTTTTGTTTTTGCTACAATCCATTGCTTTTGAAGTGTCTCTCTTTTTAGTTACGGTTCTTTTCATGTATTTTCCTTGTTCTTATTGTCAGACTTTATTTTACAATTTTACATTAATTTGATGCGTTGCTTATCAAACTCTTGCTTATGAACAAAAATTTTGGAACCCAATACCAGCAGCCTGAATAGGGATAAGAACACAGCAGCAATTCAGTAACTGTTGGCTGAGTTGAAAAAGAAATACCTACACAATTTGCTAAATGCATCTGTGAGACAGCACATGTGCACGAGCTCCTGAGCTTTAACAGATGCGTAAATGTCATTTGCATGTGTAACTCTCCTCTGGGCTTACCCAGATTTTTTTGTACTTAAAATTTTAAATTAAAAAATGTATACATACCTAAAATAAAAAATTTCAGAGTTCTACAAATGAGCAACTATACTGATGATGTTTGGAGAAGGGTTTTTCATTGTGGAACAAGATATAACTGCAAGGTGGAGAGGCAAGAAACGACCCCGTGAGATTGGACTGGAATTGGAGATCTCAGGAAAACTTGTAATGTTTAACAAATAGGCTTCCTAGTGCTTTCTGTCAAAAGCAATGACAACCAAGGAGGCCCAGATCTTAAGTGTCTAAACATTATTCTCCATTAAAGGAAATACAGGGTATTTCTAAGGATCAAGATATTTAGATTCCAGGGCTGAGGTAGAAGAGAAAAAAAATCCCACAAAAGACGACAGATGTAGAATATCCTGTGCTGAAAAATCAGCATTTGGCAAACACAAGTAACAATTAATCCAGCCAAGACATATCACTATATGTTAAAACTGGTGTATGAAAGTTTGTTGAGAAACAGAACACTTAATAGTCTCAAAGTATCTTCCCACAAGATGCTTATTAATGTAACAATAAAAACCCAGAAATTCACAGTAGAGAGACCTAGTAGATGCTGCAAAATTGACATCTTTGTATTAATACCATGATAGGATGTACTGAAAAGGGTGGTGTCATTT